CTGGGGGAGGTCGGGTAATGTAATTATGTGCACGAGCACAAAACACCACATCTGTAACTTTTGTCGCATCTGAATCAGCCATGGCAGTTATTTTTACATGGCAGGAGAGTAAAAATTCCAACCAGAATAACCTACTGTTTTTTGGCGAACTCCAAGGTCCTCTGATAATACTAGTCCCGTGTGAATCGACATCCCTGTGTTTTGAGAGAAATCTCTGAGTTTGACAGGTGTTGCTCGCGGTTTGCGTAAGAAAACAATTACTGATTCATAAGCTACAGTGTATTCGGAAAGTATTCAGACCCCATTACTTTTTCCACATTTTGTTACATTACACCCTTATTCTAAAAAGGATTAAATGTTTTTTTCCCCTCATCAATCTATACACAATACCCCATAATGACAAAGCAAAAAACGTTTTAGCTAATGTATTAAAAATAAAAAACGGAAATATCACATTTACATAAGTATGCAGACCATTTACTCAGTACTTTGTTGAAGCACCTTTGGCAGCGATTACAGCCTCGAGTCTTGTTGGGTATGATGCTACAAGCTTGTCACACCTGTATTTTGGGAGTTTCTCCCATTCTTCTCTGAAGATCCTCTCAAGCTCTATCAGGTTAAATGGGGAGTGTCACTGCACAGCTATTTTCAGGTCTCTCCAGAGATGTTTGATCGGGTTCAAGTCCGGGCTCTGGCTGGGCCACTCAAGGACATTCAGAGACTTGTCCTGAAGCCACTCCTGCGTTATCTTGGCTGTGTGCTTAGGGTCGTTGTCCTGTTGGAAGGTGAATCTTCGCCCCCAATCTGAGGTTCCGAGCACTCTGGAGCAGGTTTTCATCAAGGATCTCTCTGTACTTTGCTCCGTTCATCTTTCCCTCAATCCTGACTAGTCTCCCAGTCCCTGCCGCTGAAAAACATCCCCACAGCATGATGCTGCCACCACCATGCTTCACCGTAGGGATGGTGCAAGGTTTCCTCCAGATGTGACGCTTGGCATTCAGGCCAAAGAATTCAATCTTGGTTTCATCAGACTAGAGAATCTTGTTTCTCATGATCTGAGAGTCTTTAGGTGCCTTTTGGCAAACTCCAAGCGGGCTGTCATGTGCATTTTACTGAGGAGTGGCTTCCGTCTGGCCACTCTACCATAAATGCCTGATTGTTGGAGTGCTGCAGAGATGGTTGTCCTTCTGGAAGGTTCTCCCATCTCCACAGAGAAACTCTAGAGCTCTGTCAGAGTGACCATCGGGTTCTTGGTCACCTCCCTGACCAAGGCCCTTCTCCCCTGATTGCTCAGTTTGGCCGGACGGCCAGCTCTAGGAAGAGTCTTGGTGGTTCCAAACTTCTTCAATTTAAGAATGATGGAGGCCACTGTGTTCTTGGGGACCTTCAATGCTGCAGACATTTTTCGGGACCCTTCCCCAGATCTGTGCCTTGACACAATCCTGTCTCGGAGCTCTACGGACAATTCCTTCGACCTCATGGCTTGGTTTTTGCTCTGACATGCACTGTCAACTGTGGGCCCTTTATATAGACAGGTGTGTGCCTTTCCAAATCATGTCCAATCAATTGAATTTACCACAGGTGGACTCCAATCAAGTTGTAGAAACATCTCAAGGATGATCAATGGAAACCGGATGCACCTGAGCTCAATTTCGAGTCTCATAGCAAAGGGTCTGAATACTTATGTAAATAAGGTATTTCCGTTTTTTTTTTTTTATGTGGAAAAAGTTAAAGGGTCTGAATACTTTCTGAATGCACTGTATATACACAGTGCGTTCAGAAAGTATTCAGACACCTTCCCTTTTTGCATTTAGGACATACTGCGGATCGCTAAAATATCCTAATGGTTATGATCACACTTCATGATCACCTCAATTCAAATATTATGGTGACACTATATGACAGATGGTTTGGTATGGTTTAGACTTGGGAACCAAGCTCTAGTTATCAGTGTGGCCCTATCACCTGGACATGTTGAAATACTGTATCTTCACGGCTAGAATAAAAACCTCCAGGCTTGCGTCATAACTGTCAATTTATTGGGGGAAAATTACAGGGGGCGGTTTGGAAAAAACGAATCCCGTCCGAATCGTCTACTGGAATAACAGACATTCTGGAGTAATAATTACATAACCAACGTTCCCTAGTAATACTAGTCCCATGCGAATAGGTCTTTGGTCACATGCATGCGATGCATACATGTGTCACATAAAGAGAGCAAGGGTTGAGGGAATAGGGAATGTTTTTCCTAAACAAATGAAGTATTTCGGTAACAGAACTTTACAGTTAGAAAAGCTTTAATTATGTTTCAGCTTCAGCAACACGGACAGCGCGATAAACACTTTGTTCTGTGGTGGTCGCTGAAGGAGAGAGACAATGGGTGTTAGTCACAGTCACTTGCTGTCTTTTTTTTTTTTTTTTACACAGTGCAGCAAGTCTGAGCCTTGCCCAGCACAATCAAATAAATTGCTGGTCGGACTCCCTCTAGTAATTTGTATGTCTTATTTATTTAATCAAACCATGTGCTTAAAGCATCAGACAAGCTCAGTGAATATACAGTTGAAGTCGGAAGTTTACATACACTTAGGTTGGAGTCATTAAAACTCATTTTTCAACCACTCCACACATTTCTTGTTAACAAACTATAGTTTTGGCAAGTCGGTTAGGACATCTACTTTGTGCATGACACAAGTAATTTTTCCAACAATTGTTTACAGACAGATTATTTCACTTATAATTCACTGTATCACAATTCCAGTGGGTCAGAAGTTTACATGCACTAAGTTGACTGTGCCTTTAAACAGCTTGGAAAATTCCAGAAAATGATGTCATGGCTTTAGAAGCTTCTGATAGGCTAATTGACATCATTTGAGTCAATTGGAGGTGTACCTGTGGCCTACCTTCAAACTCAGTGCCTCTTTGCTTGACATCATGGGAAAATCAAAATAAATAAGCCAAGACCTCAGAAAAAGAATTATAGACCTCCACAAGTCTGGTTCATCCTTGGAAGCGATTTCCAAACGCCTGAAGGTACCACGTTCATCTGTACAAACAATAGTACGCAAGTATAAACACCATGGGACCACGCAGCCGTCATACCGCTCAGGAAGGAGACGCGTTCTGTCTCCTAGAGATGAATGTACATTGGTGCGAAAAGTGCAAATCAATCCCAGAACAGCAGCAAAGGATCTTGTGAAGATGCTGGAGGAAACAGGTACAAAAGTATCTATATCCACAGTAAAACGAGTCCTATATCGACATAACCTGAAAGGCCGCTCAGCAAGGAAGAAGCCACTGCTCCAAAACCGCCATAAAAAAGCCAGACTACGGTTTGCAACTGCACATGGGGACAAAGATTGTACTTTTTGGAGAAATGTCCTCTGCTCTGATTAAACAAAAATTGAACTGTTTGGCCATAATGACCATTGTTATGTATGGAGGAAAAAGGGGGACGTTTGCAAGCCAAAGAACACCATCCCAACCGTGAAGCACGGGGGTGGCAGCATCATGCTGTGGGGGTGCTTTGCTGCAGGAGGGACTGGTGCACTTCACAAAATAGATGGCATCATGAGGAAGGAAAATTATGTGGATATATTGAAGCAACATCTCAAGACATCAGTCAGGAAGTTAAAGCTTGGTCGCAAATGGGTCTTCCAAATGGACAATGACCCCAAGCATACTTCCAGAGTTGTGGCAAAATGGCTTAAGGACAACAAAGTCAAGGTACTGGAGTAGCCATCACAAAGCCCTGACCTCAATCCTATAGAACATTTGTGGGCAGAACAGAAAAGGCGTGTGCGAGCAAGGAGGCCTATAAACCTGACTCAGTTACACCAGCTCTGTCAGGAGGAACGGGCCAAAATTCACCCAATTTATTGTGGGAAGCTTGTGGAAGGCTACCCGAAACGTTTGACCCAAGTTGAACAATTTAAACGCAATGCTACCAAATACTAATTGAGTGTATGTAAACTTCTGACCCACTGGGAATGTGAGGAAAGAAATAAAAGCTGAAATAAATCGTTCTCTCTACTATTATTCTGACATTTCACATTCTTAAAATAAAGTGGTGATCTTAACTGACCTAAGACAGGGAATTTGTACTAGGATTAAATGTCAAGAATTGTGAAAAACTGAGTTTAAATGTATTTGGCTAAGGTTTATGTAAACTTCCGACTTCAACTGTAGTTGATTGGATAAAACACATAGGATGTGTCAATATATGGAAAAATAGACGTTTAAAAATGTCAACCAATCGATTGGTCGAAAGAACAGACAACTCTTGGTCGACCAATATTTTTTTTTAGTCGGGGATAGCCCTAATCCTAACCAACTGTTACACAGAGAAGATTAAACGACTAAACTAGCAGTCGTTCAATCTTCTCGGGGTGACATTTGGGATAATGGGACAGTTCGGAGTACAACGCATTTCTCATCCCTGGATTGAGGGACTTTGTCCGAGCCATATCTCACACCAGCTCCATGGTGTCTTACTCTACACAGGAAGCCTGTCCAACCCTAGTGCAGCTGTAAGCAAGCGGGTCGGATCTGCTGGCTACCTAGCCCTGCGCCTCTGGGCTCTTGTGCTCTCTCTGCATCCTGCACTAAAACAAAAAAACTCACCCTCCCTCTAGTCTGACTTGGACCTAGACCCTGAGTCTGTCTGGCTCGCGAGTAAACCCACTCTAACCTAGTTTAACCCAGTCCATATCCATTTCTCACATCTATTATCTTCCTTTGCTGCTGCTGCTGGTCACATACTCTCCTCTCTCCTCTGCATGCTGTGTGTTTGCATGGCAAACCAAGCCTAATGTTGCTCAACACACTTTCCACTCTGGTAACCCGTAAGTGTATGCTGAAACCTCTCACTACCTGGCAACCTGTTACCTCAGGACAGAAATTGGGGCCTGGAGTTTCTTGTTCAGTTCAGATGGTCATGGAAAATTAAACCCTACCTATAATGCTCTGAGGTCCTGATCCCATCCCCTCTCTCTGATTTGCAGTACGGCATGGGCAGTGGGAGTGGCTCCAAGTCCTCCTCCTTCACGGCATTCGTTGATCCACGTGTCTACGGAACCTCCCCCACCGATGATGATGATGAAAACTCTGCCTCTGGTGAGTCAGTGATCTTGTCAATCTTCTTTCATCTTTGCTCTAGCTCTTGTTGCCAGTAAATGACTTAGGAAGGAGGAGGTTACATGAATGTTGCTCTAAGGTTGTAATTTTGTGTGAACATACTGTACATTTTTATAATGTTATCCTGTGGTTGTTGTAAGTTTGAAAAGTTGTGTGAACATTAGTATAATGTTGTCCTGTGGTTACAGCACTCTTTGCAAATGAGCTGCTGCTTCAGGAGCAGGCCAGACTGAACGAGGCCAGAAAGATCAGCGTGGTCAACGTGAACCCTACCAACATACGACCTCACAGCGACACGCCTGAGATACGCAAATACAAGAAACGCTTCAACTCTGAGATACTGTGTGCTGCTCTCTGGGGTAAGACACTTAAACTATACATTATATACAGTTGAAGTCGGAAGTTTACATACACTTAGGTTGGAGTAATTAAAACTCGTTTTTCAACCACTCCACAAATTTCTTGTTAACAAACTACTGTTTTGGCAAGTTGGTTAGGACATCTACTTTGAGCATGACACAAGTAATTTTTCTAACAATTGTTTACAGACAGATTATTTCACTTATAATTCACTCTATCACAATTCCGGAAGGAGTCGCGTTCTCTCTCCTAGAGATGAACGTACTTTGGTGCGAAAAGTGCAAATCAATCCCAGAACAACAGCAAAGGACCTTGTGAAGATGCTGGAGGAAACCGGTACAAAAGTATCTATATCCACAGTAAAACAAGTCATATATCGACATAACCTGAAAGGCCGCTCAGCAAGGAAGAAGCCACTGCTCCAAAACCGCCATAAAAAAACCAGACTACGGTTTGCAACTGCACATGGGGACAAAGATCTACTTTTTGGAGAAATGTCCTCTGGTCTGATGAAACAAAAATAGAACTGTTTAGAACATTGTTATGTTTGGAGGAAAAAGGGGGACGCTTGCAAGCCAAAGAACACCAACACAACCGTGAAGCACAGGGGTGGCAGCATCATGCTGTGGGGGTGCTTTGCTGCAGGAGGGACTGGTGCACTTCACAAAATAGATGGCATCATGAGGAAGGAAAATTATGTGGATATATTGAAGCAACATCTCAAGACATCAGTCAGGAAGTTAAAGCTTGGTCGCAAATGGGTCTTCCAAATGGACAATGACCCCAAGCATACTTCCAGAGTTGTGGCAAAATGGCTTAAGGACAACAAAGTCAAGGTACTGGAGTGGCCATCATAAAGCCCTGACCTCAATCCTATAGAAAATGTGTGGGCAGAACTGAAAAAGCGTGTGTGAGCAAGGAGGCCTACAAACCTGACTCAGTTACACCAGCTCTGTCAGGAGGAATGGGCCAAAATTCACCCAGCTTATTGTGGGAAGCTTGTGGAAGGCTACCCGAAACGTTTGACCCAAGTTGAACAATTTAAAGGCAATGCTACCAAATACTAATTGAGTGTATGTAAACTTCTGACCCACTGGGAATGTGATGAAAGAAATAAAAGCTGAAATAAATCATTCTCTCTACTATTATTCTGACATTTCACATTCTTAAATAAAGTGGTGATCCTAACTGACCTAAGACAGGGAATTTATACTTGGATTAAATGTCAGGAATTCTGAAAAACTGAGTTTAAATGTATTTGGCTAAGGTGTATGTAAACTTCTGACTTCAACTGTATATATAGACACACGTTGTGGTATTGTTTGTGTGTGTGTGTGTGAGAAGAAGGTGCTTTCTGTATCCATACGTTTCTATATATCCATAATCTTTGAATCCTTCTCGACTGTAATGTGATTTGTGGGTTCAAATAAAGTATTTAAAATGTGTGTGTGTCTAGGTGTGAACCTGCTGGTGGGGACAGAGAACGGTCTTATGTTGTTGGACCGTAGTGGTCAGGGGAAGGTGTATAACCTGATCAACCGCCGACGCTTCCAACAGATGGATGTTCTGGAGGGCCTCAACGTCCTGGTCACCATATCTGGTAGGACTGATTGCAGCAAGACCGCTACTCGAACACAGTTAGACTTTAACAAAGGGTTCGGTGGCCCCATCGAGGAAGATTTATGGTGTGTTTCTGGTTTTGACTTTGTGGTTTTTAACTGTCCGGCCCCAAAAGGCAGACTTGGGTTTCCTAAAGAGCTGGAGGCCTGTAGCATTGCTTTGTTCAGATTCTAAGATTACTCTCAAATAGCCAACAGGCTTAAGACCTTTCCCTCCCTCTCCTCTCCTTTCCCCTCTCTCTCCTCTCCTTTCCCCTCTCTCTCCTCTCCTTTCCCCTCTCTCTCCTCTCCTTTCCCCTGTCTCCTTTCCCCTCCTTTCCCCTCTCTCCTTTCCCCTCTCTCCTCTCCTTTCCCCTCTCTCTCCTCTCCTTTCCCCTCTCTCCTTTCCCCTATCTCCTTTCCCCTCTCTCTCCTCTCCTTTCCCCTCTCTCCTTTCTCCTTTCCCCTCTCTCCCTTCTCCTTTTCCCTCTCTCTCCTCCAGGGAAGAAGAATAAGTTGCGTGTGTACTACCTGTCCTGGCTGAGGAACAGGATATTACACAATGACCCTGAGGTGGAGAAGAAGCAGGGCTGGGTCACTGTAGGAGAGCTGGAGGGCTGCGTGCACTACAAAGTCGGTACGACTGTGTGTGTGTGCGTGTGGACTTGGGGGGTGAAGTTTAAACCTGGGCGTCTGTGTGTTGTATTAGCCCATTTAAGCTAAAGCCAAGGCATTATCACGGGGTGCTAACACAAGCCTCAGTGAGTGATTGACTCTTGTTAGTGCGTTGTTTCCAGTGAAGTATGAGAGGATCAAGTTTCTGGTGATCGCTCTGAAGAACTCAGTGGAGATCTACGCCTGGGCACCCAAACCCTACCACAAGTTCATGGCTTTCAAGGTAACACACACACAAATATTATCTTATTTCCTCCACTACCAGTGTGTAGCTCCCACCTACTCTCACCTGGGTGATGCCACAGCAGCCATTTTGTAGCTAAATGCTCTCCACACATCAGTAATCACAGTGTCTCTCTCAATAATGTCTATCTTTCTCTCTATTCGCCACTGTCTCTCTTCTCTCTGTCTGTCCGTCAGTCGTTCACTGACCTGCAGCACCGCCCCCAGCTGGTTGACCTGACGGTGGAGGAGGGTCAGAGGTTAAAGGTCATCTATGGCTCCAGTGTTGGGTTTCACGTAATCGATGTCGACTCTGGCAACCCTTATGACATCTACATCCCCTCCCACGTAAGGCTGCATGTGTGCATCCGTGTGTATGTGTGTGCGTGCATGGTCAGAGAAGGACAACTGAAACAGGTAACATCTGATTTCTGCACTCTGGTGGTGAGACGTTGGTTTCCCTCTGAACTACAACCCATTTAAATGGTAACCGTACCTACCGTGTGGCAGTTCTGGTTTCAGGGCTCAAATACCATGACGGTTACCATTTATGTTGTTGAAACCATGACAAGGCTGTTTTGTTTACATTGTGTGTTACCATGGTGATTGTGTGGCTGATGGAGTGGGAGATTCCATTGTTGCAGCAGTTTCTCATCGCACAGGGGGGTGGGGAGCTGGCCACAAGACAGGGAGGGAGAGAAAGAAGGGCGAGAAAGAGAGATTTGGAGATTTGGAGGTAGAGGAGTTTTGCGGGGGTCGTGCTCTGTGCCAGCCAGGCTGACGCCAGCCCCCCTACCCCTCCACTGTGTGGTATCTATCGCCCCCGGCAGATTCAGAGTCAGGTGACGCCCCATGCCATCGTGGTGCTGCCGCGGACCGACGGGATGGAGATGCTGCTGTGTTACGAGGACGAGGGCGTCTACGTCAACACCTACGGACGCATCACTAAAGACGTGGTGTTGCAGTGGGGAGAGATGCCTACATCTGTTGGTAGGTCACACACACACACACAAAAGTATTCATCACCCTCTGCGTTTTTCCTATTTTGTTGCATTACAACCTGTAATTTAAATGGATTTTTATTTGGATTTCATGTAATGGACATACACAAAATAGTCAAAATTGGTGAAATGAAATGAAAAAAAAACATTCTAAAAAATAAATAACGGAAAAGTGGTGCGTGCATATGTATTCACCCTCTTTGCTATGAAGCCCCTAAATAAGATCTGGTGCAACCAATTACCTTCAGAAGTCACATAATTAGTTAGATTGCACACAGGTGGACTTTATTTAAGTGTCACATGATCTCAGTGTATATTACACCTGTTCTGAAAGGCCCCAGAGTCTGCAACACCACTAAGCAAGGGGCACCACCAAGCAAGCGGCACCATGAAGACCAAGGAGCTCTCCAAACAGGTCAGGGACAAAGTTGAGGAGATGTACAGATCAGGGTTGGGTTATAAAAAAATATCCAAACCTTTGAACATCCCACGGAGCACCATTTAAATCCATTATTAAAAAATTGAAAGAATATGGCACCACAACAAACCTGCCAAGAGAGGGCCGCCCACCAAAACTCACGGACCAGGCAAGGATGGCATTAATCAGAGAGGCAACAAAGAGACCAAAGATAACCCTGAAGGAGCTGCAAAGCTCCACAGCAGAGATTGGAGTATCTGTCCATAGGACCACTTTAAGCCGCACACTCCACAGAGCTGGGCTTTATGGAAGAGTGGCCAGAAAAAGCCATTGCTTAAAGAAAGAAATAAGCAAACACGTTTGGTGTTCACCAAAAAGCATGTGGGAGACTCCCCAAACATATGGAAGAAGGTGCTCTGGTCAGATGAGACTAAAATTGAGCTTTTTGGCCATCAAGGAAAACTATATGTCTGGCGCAAACCCAACACCTCTCATCACCCCGAGAACACCAACATGTTTTTCATCGGCAGGGACTGTGAAACTGGTCAGAATTGAAGGATTGATGGATGACGCTAAATACAGGGATATTCTTGAGGGAAACCTGTTTCAGTCTTCCAGAGATTTGAGACTGGGACGGAGGTTCACCTTCCAGCCGGACAATGACCCTAAGCATACTGCTAAAGCAACACTCAAGTGGTTTAAGGGGAAACATTTAAATGTCTTGGAATGGCCTAGTCAAAGCCCAGACCTCAATCAAATTGAGAATCTGTGGTATGACTTAAAGATTGCTGTACACCAGTGGAACCCATCCAACTTGAAGGAGCTGGAGCAGTTTTGCCTTGAAGAATGGGCAAAGATTCCAGTGGCTAGATGTGCCAAGCTAATAGAGACATACCCCAAGAGACTTGCAGCTGTAATTGCTGCAAAAGGTGGCTCTACAAAGTATTGACTTTGGGGGGGTGAATAGTTATGCACGCTCAAGTTTTCTGTTTTTTTGTCTTATTTCTTGTTTGTTTCACACACAAAAAAAAATGTGCATCTTCAAAGTGGTAGGCATGTTGTGTAAATCAAATGATACAACCTGGAATAAAAATGGATTTTTGTAAGGTAACAAAATAGGAAAAATGCCAAGGGGGGTGAATACTTTCTCAAGCCACTGTATATACACAACTCTCACTGCCCCCCTCACAAACACTTCTATACCTCTCAATGGTTCATAAAATACACCCCTCACTACTCCTCTCTACCCCTCACTACCCCCCTCTGATCCACTAGTAAGGCTAGGACTCCTAGTCTTTTCAGCTTCCAACCCCTGCTCTCCAACTCCAACCCCTGCTCTCCAACTCCAACCCCTGCTCTCCAACTCCAACCCCTGCTCTCCAACTCCAACCCCTGCTCTCCAACTCCAACCCCTGCTCTCCAACTCCAACCCCTGCTCTCCAACTCCAACCCCTGCTTTCCAACTCCAACCCCTGCTCTCCAACTCCAACCCCTGCTCTCCAACTCCAACCCCTGCTCTCCAACTCCAACCCCTGCTCTCCAACTCCAACCCCTGCTCTCCAACTCCAACCCCTGCTCTCCAACTCCAACCCCTGCTTTCCAACTCCAACCCCTGCTCTCCAACTCCAACCCCTGCTCTCCAACTCCAACCCCTGCTCTCCAACTCCAACCCCTGCTCTCCAACTCCAACCCCTGCTCTCCAACTCCAACCCCTGCTCTCCAACTCCAACCCCTGCTCTCCAACTCCAACCCCTGCTCTCCAACTCCAACCCCTGCTCTCCAACTCCAACCCCTGCTCTCCAACTCCAACCCCTGCTTTCCAACTCCAACCCCTGCTCTCCAACTCCAACCCCTGCTCTCCAACCAAGGCCGGCGCCAGAACGAATCAGTTGGACGGGCCTATGATTTCTATAGGCGGACAAATCTTTTCCTGGGACCTCCTATGTGTGCACACGCTTGCACGTTCACATTTTTTTTAAATGGGTGTTATAGTGAAGACCATAGGCAGCTTGTGAGTTTCAAGTTTGGGGAAGCTTACAATTTATCCTACCATCTCTACCGATCTGTGTGCCAGTTATGATTACTTTTATATGCGCATTTTCGTGAAACAGTTTAATTTCAATAATAACGTTTTTGTTTCTCAAAATCATTGTCACTTGGTTAATCATAAAAATCTGAAGTAAAACAATAAAAATCTAAAAGTTAAAATTAAACTAAGGCTAGAGCGCCAGCCTCTTTCATATGGACACATTGATACACTGTGATCCATTGGCGACTAAAGAAAAGAGCGCATAGAACTCAGAGATAGCCTATAGGCCAATGCAGTAAGCCTATAACTTCATCGTCAACTAAGTAAAATACTTAGGCCTAAGGTTGACTAAATAAAAACTGTAGAAAATATTTCACATTCATCTCTCTACACTGCCTGTCTGCCTCCCTTTTTATATGTCTTGACTTGAGCTATTGCTAGTGAAGTGCAACATTGTATCAAATCATCAACTGGATCGGCCCGAAGCTGTCGCTAGCGAACTTGCAACATTATATCAACTAACCCATACTTTTGCATGCAGCAGGCCAGGTAGGCCTACTTCTGTGTGTGTCCCTCAACGTTATCAGGAAAGAGAAACCAGACACATGTTCCTTGCTCACATGAAGCATTGCAAACAAAAGACAATGAAAAAAATTGACAAAACTCGTAATGGTTATGAAATAAACCAAAACTTGTTTTTCACAAGTGTAACAGGTTGTGAACTCCGCAAACAGCGTTTCCAGTCCGAGAATGAGAACGGTAAATGACTGTAATTAATACATGCATTAACAGAAAATAATGTATCCTAATGACAGGGGATTAACGGTACATTTACTATGCCTACTGGTGACATGTTATGGGGAATTTATCAAAAATAAACAATCAAAGGGCAAGCAATTCACACAATGAAAGAATTGGCGGATTCTGGAGAGCTGAGTGCATGCATTCTGGAGAGGGACGCACCATATCTTTGCCAAACCCCCTCCCCTTCTTCTTGTTGCAACATTTTAAATTATTCTCGACACGTTATCGTCACACATATTTTAGATGCTTATCACTGACAGCCGCAACTCAATCAGCTAGACCTACTGCCAAACGCATTACCCACATTGGGGGCAAATAGGCATAGGGCCTACACACTTGTGATTTGAAACAATCCACAGCAAAAAAAATTAAAGATGCTAATGCTCCCTGGTGAAGTATTTTGAATTATTTTATTTAGACAGGAGTAATTATACCCTATAATTTTGGTGAAACATCAATTTACTTTAGGGGAATCTAGCATCCTAACAGTGCACCTGCCAACTTTCCTTTCCAATTCGCAAGAGGCTGAAACCAGATATCTGTATATAATGACGTGATGCTCATGTCTCCGCCCTAACAATGGGAGTCTTTGTCCCAAAGGTGGGAAGGTAGGCGACAAGCTTAGGTCTGCATATTATGCCCATAGAAACGCATTGGGCTTATTCTGGACAGATTCTGGCGAGAGTGAACCCTCTCGCATCGCCTCTTCCTCTCTGCTGAAACTATGTCACTGGAGAAAGCATCTTAGCGAGCGAAACAGTGCCCCTCTAAATGTAGCCCATGGATCTGATGCTGTCTGGCCAGAAATAGTATGACATGCCATACTCTTTTGGTCCAGACAGCATCAGATACATGGTCTACACATACTGAGACAGAGGGGTACTGTTTCGCTCGCTCGGATGCTTTAACTGAGATTGATGCATCTTTCTGTCGGCACGCGTCTCTGTCAAATAAATTATCAATATTTCAATATTTTATTTGACGGGCAAGGAAGCCTTCTAAGGCCCATCCATAACGCCGGACCTGTCTCCAAACACTGCTCTCCAACCCCTGCGCTCCAACCCCTGCGCTCCAACCCCTGCTCTCCAACCCCTGCTCTCCAACCCCTGCTCTCCAACCCCTGCTCTCCAACCCCTGCTCTCCAACCCCTGCTCTCCAACCCTTGCTCTCCAACCCTTGCTCTCCTGCTCCAACCCCCACCAAATACCTCATAGTAGTAGCATTCCCCTTCCAAATGCTATATAATAACACACACACACTTGCAACCCATAGATCGACAGTTACACACACTCTGCATGCTCCTACAAGTGATGCCCCTCGACCTGTACTTCTCACACTCCTTACCCCTAGAGTACTGCCCTCCCCCCAAGTACAGGGAGGAATGTTTGTGTGTCTGTTTGTCTGCTACTTTATGTTATTCATGTTCTTTTTGTGTTGTTGTTTGATAGACAACCAGATGATACTGAAATCTAATGGATATCTACCTGTACATGAATATATCTACCTGTGTCTCTGGGTCAAGGATACAGTGCCTTCAGAAAGTATTCAGACCCCTTGACTTTTTCCACATTTTGTTATGTTACAGCCTTATTATAAAAAAATTAAAAACACACAATACCCCATAATGACAAAGCAAAAACATGTTTTTATAAATTTTTGCTAATTTATTAAAAATAAAAAACGGAAATATGACGTTTTCACAAGTATTCAGACCCTTTACTCAGTACTATGTTGAATCACCTTTGGCAGCGATTACAGCATAGAGTCTTCTTGGGTATGACACTACAAGCGTGACACACCTGTATTTGGGGAGTTTCTCCCATTCTTCTCTGAAGATCCTCTCAAGCTCTGTCAGGTTGGATGGGGAACGTTGCTGCACAGCTATTTTCAGGTCTCTCCAGAGATATTCGATCGGGTTCAAGTCCGTGTTCTGGCTGGGACACTCAAGGACATTCAGAGACTTGTCTTGAAGCCACTCCTGCGTTGTCTTGGCTGTGTGCTTAGGGTCGTTGTCCTGTTGGAAGGTGAACCTTCACCCCAGTCTGAGGTCCTGAGCGCTCTGGAGCAGGTTTTCATCTGTACTTTGCCCCTTTCATCTTTGCCTCGATCCTGACTAGTTTCCCAGTCCCTGCCGCTGAAATACATCCCCACAGCATGATGCTGCCACCACCATGCTTCACTCTTGCTTTCATCAGACCAGAGAATCGTGTTTCTCATGGTCTGAGAGTCTTTAGGTGCCTTTTGGCAAACTCCAAGCAGGCTGTCATGTGCCTTTTACTGAGAAGTGACTTCCATCTGGCCACTCTACCAAGAAGGCCTGATTGGTGGAGTGCAGCAGAGATGGTTGTCCTTCTGGAAGGTTCTCCCATCTCCACAGAGGAGCTCTGTCAGAGTGACCATCGGGTTCTTGGTCACCTCCCTGACCTTCTCCCCCGATTGCTCAGTTTGGCCGGACGGCCAGCTCTAGGAAGAGACTTGGTGGTTCCAAACTTCTTCCATTTAAGAATGATGGAGGCCACTGTGTTCTTGGGGACCTTTAATGCTGCAGACATTCTTTGCGACCCTTCCCCAGATCTGTGCCTCGACACAATCCTGTCTTGGAGCTCTACGGACAATTCCTTCGACCTCATCGCTTGTCATTGGCTCTGAAATGCACTGTCAACTGTGGGACCTTATATAGACAGGTGTGTGCCTTTCCAAATCGATGTCCAATCAATTGAATTTAGCACAGGTGGACTCCAATCAAGTTGTAGAAACATCTCAAGGATGATCAATGGAAACAGGATGCACCTGAGCTCAATTTCGAGTCTCATAGCAAAGGGTCTGAATACTTATATAAATAAGGTATTTCTGTTTTTTTATATTTAATAAATTTTCTAACATTTCTAAAAACCTGTTTTCGCTTTGTCATTATGTGGTATTGTGGGTAGATTGCTGAGGATTTTTATTTATTTAATCCATTTTAGAATAAGTCTGTAATGTAACAAAATTTGGAAAAAGTCAAGGGGTCTGAATACTTTCCGAAGGCACTGTATGTCTACCTGTCTCTCTGGGTCTAGGATACGTCTACCTGTCTCTCTTTAGGATGGAGACACTTTCTGTTTGTCTTTACGTATGTACACTGCTCAAAAAAATTAAGGGAACACTTAAACAGCACAATGTAACTCCAAGTCAATCACACTTCTGTAAAATCAAACTCTCCACTTAGGAAGCAACACTGATTGACAATACATTTCACATGCTGTTGTGCAAATGGAATAGACAACAGGTGGAAATTATAGGCAATTAGCAAGACACCCCCAATAAAGGACTGGTTTTGCAGGTGGTGACCACAGACCACTTCTCAGTTCCTATGCTTCCTGATGTTTTGGTCACTTTTGAATGGTGGCGGTGCTTTCACTCTAGTGGTAGCATGAGACGGAGTCTACAACCCACACAAGTGGCTCAGGTAGTGCAGCTCATCCAGGATGGCACATCAATGCGAGCTGTGGCAAGAAGGTTTGCTGTGTCTGTCAGCGTAGTGTCCAGAGCATGGAGGCGCTACCAGGAGACAGGCCAGTACATCAGGAGACGTGGAGGAGGCCGTAGGAGGGAAACAACCCAGCAGCAGGACTGCTACCTCCGCCTTTGTGCAAGGAGGAGCAGGAGGAGCACTGCCAGAGCCCTGCAAAATGACCTCCAGCAGGCCACAAATGTGCATGTGTCTGCTCAAACGGTCAGAAACAGACTCCATGAGGGTGGTATGAGGGCCCGACGTCCACAGGTGGGGGTTGTGCTTACAGCCCAACACCGTGCAGGACGTTTGGCATTTGCCAGAGAACACCAAGATTGGCAAATTCGCCACTGGCGCCCTGTGCTCTTCACAGATGAAAGCAGGTTCACACTGAGCACATGTGACAGACGTGACAGAGTCTGGAGACGCCGTGGAGAATGTTCTGCTGCCTGCAACATCCTCCAGCATGACCGGTTTGGCAGTGGGTCAGTCATGGTGTGGGGTGGCATTTCTTTGGGGGGCCGCACAGCCCTCCATGTGCTCGCCAGAGGTAGCCTGACTGCCATTAGGTACTGAGATGAGCTCCTCAGACCCCTTGTGAGACCATATGCTGGTGCGGTTGGCCCTGGGTTCCTCCTAATGCAAGACAATGCTAGACCTCATGTGGCTGGAGTGTGTCAGCAGTTCCTGCAAGAGGAAGGCATTGATGCTATGGACTGGCCTGCCCGTTCCCCAGACCTGAATCCAATTGAGCACATCTGGGACATCATGTCTCACTCCATCCACCAACGCCACGTTGCACCACAGACTGTCCAGGAGTTGGCGGATGCTTTAGGTCAGGTCTGGGAGGAGATCCCTCAGGAGACCATCCGCCACCTCACCTGTAGTGTGGTTTTCCACTTTAATTTTGAGGGTGACTCCAAATCCAGACCTCCATGGGTTGATAAATTTGATTTCCATTGATAATTTTTGTGTGATTTTGTTGTCAGCACATTCAACTATGTAAAGAAAAAAGTATTTAATAAGATTATTTCATTCATTCAGATCTAGGATGTGTTATTTTAGTGTTCCCTTTATTTTTTTGAGCAGTGTATGTCAAATACATTGTCTTTATATACACTGAGTGTACAAAACATTAGGAACACCTGCTCTTTCCATGACATAGACTGACCAGGTGAATCCAGGTGAAAGCTATGATCCCTTACTGATGTCACTTGTTAAATCCACTTCAATCAGTGTAGATGAAGGTAGGAGACAGGTTAAAGAAGGATTTTTAAGCCTTGAGACAATTGATACATGGATTGTGTATGTGTGCCATTCAGAGGGTGAATGGGCAAGACAAAATATTTAAGTGCCTATGGTAGTAGGTGCCAGGCGCACCGGTTTGTGTCAAGAACTGCAACGCTGCTGAGTTTTTCACGCTCAACAGTTTCCCATGTGTATCAAGAATGGTCCACCACCCATAGGAAATCCAACCAACTTGACAGAACTGTGGGAAGCATTGGAGTCAACATGGGCCATGTAGAGTCCATGCCCTGACGAATTGAGGCTGTTCTGAGGGCAGAGGGGGGGGGGGTGCAACTCAATATTAGGAAGGTGTCCTTAATGTACATACGTCAAATACTTTCAAGTACTTGCGCTGCGCTTGATTAAGTTTCCTCTGTGCCATGGACCAGCTCCAAAGGTGTAAGGTCCAAGCTAAATCAAGCGCACTTCAAGTATTTGAAAATATTTGACACAGGTCTATTAACGAAACCCATCACATCTTTAACTAATTAACAAAGCTCAGGGTCAGTTAGGGATGAGGTAACAAGGATGTTATTGCTTTAATCCCACTAGATCTAGAATGGGGTCTTGATAGATCCCTTTAGATCAGCGCTGCCCTTCTATGCTTCTCTTCTGTGTCTCCACTCTAATACCAAGCTTCAGTTTATCATGTCTGTCTGATTGACTAGTTCTGTTTTCATTTGACTCATTCTGTCTCTGTCTGAAAGACTGTGTTTGTGTTGTTGTATTTTGAGACTGTACTCAGTCCTAGGAGCTTCCACCCGTGAGTTTATATCTCGTTCTTTTAAAGGTATCGCCACCCTGGCCCCAACACACACACACTATAGAAACACATACAGCCCCAAGCCACCCAATATAAACCTGTACACACACACACACATTCACACACAGACAGGCACACACACACCCACACACTCACACTCCAGTCCGTTGGCCAGCTCACTCCCTGAGCACAAAGGAGCTGGATGACAGAACTGGGAGGTAAAATCACCCAATCATCATCATGCCGCTACTACTGTAACCATCCTCACAGTCATAGTCATCAGTCACCTGCAGAATCTCTGCTACAGTACAACCACCCAGGGGTAAACCGAGGGCAGGGTTACCATCCATGTCAAACCGCTATACCAGAGTCATCACAGTAGACCCTCAGATGGCCGTCTCTCCTAGTAGCGCTCTACGGTTGACTGTGATTATGCCCCCATAACTCTGGGCATCTCTCTTATTAGCGATACTCCCTGGGTCCGTATGAAACTGCCCTCCCCATCCCCCCTCAGGGTGGACAGCTCAGGTGTTTGAGTTTTTATCCGTCGTTCAGAATCAGATACAGAAACTGCTGCAATGATTTCCTCCCGGAGGCGTGGCCAAGGGGTGTGATCTGTGACTGGTTTGAGTGAGTGCTCTCCTGTCCAATCGTCTGTCTGTGTGTCCCTGTCCCTGTCCCTCCCCCAGCCTACATCCACTCCAACCAGATCATGGGCTGGGGAGAGAAGGCCATTGAGATCCGCTCCGTGGAGACGGGACACCTCGACGGAGTTTTCATGCACAAGCGAGCTCAGCGACTGAAGTTCCTGTCGGAGAGGAACGACAAGGTGTGTGTAAGCACAAACACATGTACACGTGTACAAGATCACACACACATATGCTGCAAAGCCTAAACTTATAAGCCAACACACATGCTTACGCTCCTCACTTCCCATGATGCTTTGTGCTGTGTGCAGGTGTTTTTCGCCTCTGTGCGTTCCGGCGGCAGCAGCCAAGTCTTCTTCATGACCCTGAACCGGAGCTCTATGATGAATTGGTAACCCTGGCAACCCCTCATCCTTCATCCTCCCTCCATACTGTACATCCCTAACCAGAGGACAGGATGGAAGGATGAAGAGAGAGAACTGAGACAGACGAGTGAACACAGAGCGGCTGCGGCTCACTGGAGACGGGAGGAGGAGAGAAACCGTCTCCCATCCAGCTCTCATCGCCAGCCAGCCAGACGTCTGCAGTACTAACCTCCCTCCACCAGAGGAACTAGAGAGGAGCTCTCCAGCAACTCTCCAGATTACGCTCAGCCAACACTCTCTCTGTGGTGTGTTTAGTTTCTCTCAGGCGCCATCCAAGATGGCCCGTATTCCCTATACAGTGCAATACTTTTGGCCAGAGTAGGGAATAGGGTGCCATTTTGGACGTAGCCTCAGTGTTCTGTTTTTGGGAGGTTGTGATAGGAGGTGCTGGTGTAGTCTCCCTCATGGGGTCAGGGGTCAGTGACTAAGGGTGTTGTCATGACCCCTGACCTCTGACCTGTATGCATATATATGTGGTGGGGTGAGTGTAGATTCTTGACTGTGGGTGGTCACAAAAAATATGATACTCTTGCCAGTCTTGTTCTAGTTCACCTGTGCTCCCCTCTTTCTCTGTGACTGTTCTATTTGACATTCAATCTATTTGCCATATTTCTATTCTGAGTGTTACACATTCTATGATCTGAAACAGAGCTGCTTCCCTATCGGACACTCTTACACAGACGGAACAACAGAGGACAGAGAAAAGGAGATAGAAAGAGAGGATGATGAGAGCAGTCTGAGTGTGTTTAGTTAATCTTCCTCCTGTAAACATGTTATTAAAAAATGTGAAATGCTTCTTCATACTAATGACTGTGAGAGAGGGAGAAGTGAATAGATGGAGAGACAGATGTTTGGGTTGGTTAATGGTCAGGCTTCCTCCTACACCACCTCTTCTCTCCCTCCATCTCTTCCCCCCTTCCATTAGTTGCCTGCTTCTGTACATTTGCATAGTGACACACCTATTCCACTTGTCGTCATCACTTTTGACTTCTAAACTAAGGCAATACACAGGTGTGGTCTGACTGGAGAGAAGCATGGTTGGAAAGATTAACTTTCCAAAATGACACCCACCATGTTATAGTCAGTCAGTACCCTAGACTGGGGGGGTTGGGGGGGTGTAAATGTACTCAAAATAGCTTTAGATGGCCAGGTGGAATGACCACCATTAAGTTTAATCACATTTAGTCTTCTAGGATACTGTGTCTGACACTAACATAAGATCTGCAAAGGTAGTTGAAAGTTGAGGAGGGTGTTTGTGTTTACTGAACCAATGATGAAAGACTAGTGATGTGGGTTGTATGTAATAAAGGGTCATAGAAATGAGCCTACTCCATACACTAATCCCTTACCTTTTCAGTCATCATAGATCTGAAATGACTGGATAAATAGAAGTGTGACCGACTGGTGTTTGAACCTGGGTTGGCAGCTATCTTGCCTTCTCCTGTCTAGTCCTGTCAGATCTGTGAACACTGCAAGGGTATAGGTTCGAGAGAAAGGGGGTTGTCTCCAAGAAACCGTAGGGGAAACATGATAAAGCATTTGATTATGATATCTAACTGATCATTTAGAGAAAGACCGCCATCATGTTCATACTATAAGGCTTTCTACAGAATAGAGAAAATGGTTTCTACAATATGTTTTTATTGTGGTATTTTTTTGTAAGTATCAGACTGTGAACATGTGTGGAAGAATGAAAGCGTGTGTGTGTGACTTGTCTTCCCTGCTAACAGTACAGAATTAAACGGCCACTGTTAAGACTGTGTGTGTGTGTGTGTGTGTGTGTGTGTGTGTGTGTTTTCACCTCATCTGAATCACTGGGCTCAATAACCCGCCCCCAGACTGGTACTCCACTTCACAATGTGTTGTTGAAACGTAACTGTCCTTCCTTGAACAGAGACATGATTATGATTACATAGATGTCCTCTGCTGATTTACTTCTCACTGTCTGGATGTCTGTGTCTGACATGTAAAGTACACAGCAGCCGTATCTCACACTGTTGGCCACATGATTTCCCCCCCGCCCCTTTGTCCCACATGTTCAGCTCCATAACACACATACACACACAAAGAAACAAACACCTCTGTGTGACATACTAAACATTGGGATGAAGTCCTGCTCTGCTGAGGGTCCATATGATTTCCTTGTTTGAGAGCTAATCTCAGTTGTGATTTTCATGTTATTTTCTTGAGTTAGAACCAATGTCAATACTGCTGTACGTAGATCTGGAGTCATAAAGGGCTCTGTCTCTGGCTCCATGGGATTAGCTGTGTGGTCTGCTGTGTATGGTAAACTGCCCAAGGTGCTTCACCTCCATGATCTGTGTTTTTGTGACAAAGTGCTTGAAGTGGAATGAAAAAGGTACCAGTACTTATTTAAATTTTACAGTACAGGTAATCTCGACACCCAGGACCAAATCTCAGCTGTTAAGGCTGTCACAAGAGACTATAGTACATGGGTCCATATTTTAGAGCCAATATTCTGTAAGCGGTGCCGGTACTCAAGCAGTAGCAAATCAGAGGAGCCTGTTCTCTGTACCGGTACCAATCAGGATCGGTCAACTGGTCTGAGAGCAGTTCTCTAGTGTTCTGTCTGTTTGCATGTGGAGGTGTGGGGAGAGAGTAGCAGGGCAGACCGCAGTAGGCCTACTCACGGCTTCTTTAGACTTTGGGCCTCAAGGTTGGCACATCACAAATATTTATGTTTTCAATATAAGTGAGTAGAATTTGATTAAACATTGATTATAAGGGAACAATGTTGGGATGGTATCTGTACACTGGCTCCTAGCTTCCTTAGAGTGTTTAGCAATAAAGAGCACTAGCTACTGACTTCTTTAGTCTTCTGCTGTTACTTCTCTGTGTCACCACGACAGACACAGAGTTGCAGCGGGAGGTAGGGTGTATGGGTGATGAGCATAGATACATGTGATTATTGATGGTGATTAATTAATGTGACTGGAGGCATTTTGTTTATTACTTTTCCATGTAACCTACTCACACACTTCATGTTTCCAAATGACAACATGCATTAAAGATGTGCTGTTTTTTTCTTAAATAAAATAAGTTAAACATGAGCTATGTGTTAATGACTGTTATTTATCTTGTCTGTACTCCTCTCTTTTATCATAACAATTGTTTTGTTGTTATGAGCCTGTCAGGGTTGGGGTCAATTCCAGTCAATTCAGGAAGTACTCTAAAATTCAAATTCTCTTGAATACTTTTCAATTAGTATTTCTTTAAATTTTAATTTGAGTTTTGTTCAGTATCTGAATTGAAATTAAATTGACCCCATCCCTGCAGCCTATATTCCCTCTCATCCAGTGTCATGCAGTGCCTTCAGAAAGTATTCACACCCCTTGACTTTTTCACAATTTTGTTGTGTTACAAAGTGGGATTAAAATGGATTTAATTGTCTTTTTTTGTCAACGATCTACACAAAATACTCTGTAATGTCAAAGTGGAAGAACAATTCTAACATTTGTAAAAATAATAATAATAGTAATAAATCTTGATTAGATAAGTATTCAACCCTCTGAGTCAATGCATGTTAGAATCCCCTTTGGCAGCGATTACAGCTGTGACTTTCTGGGTAGGTCTCTAAGAGCTTTGCACACCTGGATTGTACAATATTTGCACATTATTCTTTTTAAAATTCTTCAAGCTCTGTCAAGTTGTCTGTTGATCATTGCTAGATAGCCATTCTCAAGCTTTGCCATAGATTTTCAAGACGATTTAAGTCAAAATTGTAACTAGGCCGCTCAGGAACATTCATTGTCGTCTTAGTAAGCAACTCCATTGTATATTTGGCCTTGTGTTTTAGGTTATTGTCCTGCTGAAAGGTGAATTTCTCTCCCAGTGTCTGTTGGAAAGCTGACTGAACCAGGTTTTCCTTTAGGAATTTGCCTGTGCTTAGCTCTATTCCGTTTATTTTGATCATAAAAAACTCCCTAGTCCTTTCCGATGACAAGCATACCCATAACATGATTTAGCCACCACCATGCTTGAAAATATGAAAAGTGATACTCAGTGATGTGTTGTGTTGGATTTGCCCCAAACATAATGCTTTGTAATCAGGACATAAAGTACATTATTTGCCATATTTTTGCAGTTTTACTTTAGTGCCTTATTGCAAACAGGATGCATGTTTTAGGATATGTTTTATTATGTACAGGCTTCCTTCTTTTCACTCTGTCAATTAGGTTAGTATTGTAGAGTAATTACAATGTTGTTGATCCATCCTATGTTTTCTCCTATCACAGCCATTAAACTCTGTAACTGTTTTAAAGTCACCATTGGCCTCATGGTGAAATCGCTAAGTTGTTTCCTTCCTCTCTGGCAAAGGAATTAGGAAGGACGCCTGTATCTTTGTAGTGACTGGGTGTATTGATACACCATCCAAAGTGTAATTAATAACTTCACCATGTTCAAAAGGATATTCAATGTCTGCTTTTTTTTTACCCATCTAACAATAGGTGCCCTTCTTTGCTAGCCATTGGAAAACCTCCCTGGTCTTTGTGGTTGAATCTGTGTTTGAAATTCACTGCTCGACTGAGGGACCTTACATATAATTGTATGTGTGGGGAACAGAGATGAGGCAGTCATTCAAAAATCATGTTAAACAATTTATTATGTGACTTGTTAAGCACATGTTTACTCCTGAACGTATTTAGGCTTACCATAACAAATGGGCTGAATACTTATTGACTCAAGACATTTCAGCTTTTCATTTTTAATTATTTTGTCAAAATTTCGAAAAACATAATTCCACTTTGACAATATTAGGTATTGTGTGTAGGCCAGTGACAAAAACAATCTAAATGTAATCCCTTTAAAATTCAGTCTGAAACACAACAAAATGTGGAAAAAGTAAAGGGGTGTGAATACTTTCTGAAGGCACTGTATCTTCAGCAAATAGTTATCATCCTAGTAGGTACTTTGCTGTTTTCTTTTCATTAACCCCACAATACTGAACCAAAGATGTTGCAGTATTGGCTGAACACTACATTAGGACCATAGCAGTATATTTTGTTATACATTATAAAATAAATATATTTATAGGGCTATGTTGGGAGAACCCAGAGGAACATTTTTGGACTACCGCTTTAACGGAAACCATATAAATCTACCTCCCTATACGTATGCCGCAGTAAAGTCGGTCGCGCTTGCGCAGTCCCATTCTTCTTTTTCTTGGAAGGTAAGTGGTGCATGCCGCGTGCTTCTGTTCATGGGGGAAAATTGATAACTTTTAGTAGTTTTATGTCAGTTTATTTTGGACTGGACAGATTCATTTTAGGTTTTGGTAGTCAAAAGCAAAGTGAAAAGGTCGAAATTGAGTTTGTTTCCCTAGTGTAGGTGCATTCGGCGATAGGGTGTGGGTCCCTTGTTTCACGTTTCTGTATCTCCGCTCTAACGTTAATGGAAAAAGAGGCATGAGGCCTTCCGCGCGCTTGTTGCTAGTTATGTCTTGCTAGCCTAGCCGAATGTTGGTAACTAACTGCGCTAGGAAAGCTAACCATGTCGTAATGTACATTGACATGAGGCAATTTTAATAAAGATGCCTAGAATTGTTTGAATGAAAGTAGTTGACACTTTCTGAATTAACATTTGTTTATTTGTTTAGACAAAGTATTGTGATTAGGTTGCTAATTGCAACGTTAACAAGCTAACATTAGCAAATTGACTAGGTAATGGAATGTGTTCGTAATACAGATATAGGAGGTTGGGATGGATTAAAATAACTCCAAACGTTTCTACAATTAACTTCTCGCTAACGGCATGGAATTGTCGTCATACTACTAACGTTACCTAGCCAACTAACGCGTCTTTCAATCTAAGGTAGCCATCTGGTTAGCTGGCTAACGCATTATCGCTTCTATCTATAAACTAATGAGTCGCTTATTAGTTAACCAAAACTATTTGGTATGGTAGGTATGTCTTTATAAACCGTAGCCAGTGTTATGTTTAGTCTCCCAATGTTCATTCTCATAGCTAGCTAGACACACAGCGTGTAGGCCGGGCCAGGCCGAATACAGTAGCTAACTAGCTTATTGTTAGCCTCTTTTTGCTAACCTAGCCAAACTTGTGTGAAGTTGGCTGAACGGTATCCCTGGTACTTGTGTGGTTAACATTATGAAGCTGACGTTAGCGCGGAGGAAGTTGTCTAGCCAACATTTCTTATAAATGTTGTCAGGTCGGCTACGAGTGTCCCGGGCCAGGCCTCCCCGTTATTTACAGTGGCACTATAATGCGGCAGGTTTATCGTGACGTGAGGCGAACTCTTGTTTCTGCCTCCCGAGCTAAGGCGCAGGCCAAACTGGGACACGTGGACAGGGCGTGGGGATGATCGGTAACATGACCAGGTCGGGCCCTGAACCAGTCTTGGGGCTGATTTGTGAAATAGATTTTAGCAGTCGCCTGTTAACGTTGACTATAAGCGGTCCACGCTTGCTGGGACGTCCATTATTCCCACGTTGTAATCTTCCGCATGATGTTCGTTATAAGGATGGGTTTGAGTACTGGAACTGACGTCAACTATCTAACCAGACTAGTGAAACTATTTCGTGGAATCGCCTCATGTCCACCAAATGCGTCAACTCTGCGTTCTGGCGGAAGTCATTCATTGTCAATGGGGCAGGCCGAAATGTTAAATTGGTGATGCAAAACTAGACTGCGGGGCAATCCGTGTACCACATGCCTTCAATATTTTCAACTCCTGCGTTTTCTTATTTTCTCAACTGCATTGTTGGTTAAGGCTTGTAAGTAAGCATTTCACTCTAAGGTCTACACCTGTTGTATTCGGCTCATGTGGCAAATACAATTTTATTTGGGAATAATTGTGTCCCGTCTATTCCACTTAGGCTACTTTGCGAACTGCTAGTGGCATTTAGGATTAGCTAGGCTATGACCCCAACATACTGAAAATATGCTGGCATGAGTTTATTAAAGACAGTATTTTCATCAGAATCGTTAAGCCTGGGCTTACTCACCAAACATGTCGTGACCCTAATTCATCACCATGCGGTGTCATGTGGAATTGCTAACAATTTGCAAAATTCTAAAACTGGCAGAATAAACTAAATTGAAGGTCTGTATATTTAAGATATATATTTGTATTTTTGGTTTAACCCTGAATTCTTTCAACTCACCCAATTGAGTCCTGTTTCAAAGGATCACTGAATAACTGTTCCAGGCGTGAGATGTGTATCACTTCGCACTGGCAACTTTTTTTCATTTGGTGTCTTGACTTTGATAAGGGCTTGAAGTAAGTATTCTCTGCTATATTAACAAAACAAGGCTATGCCAGATGCTTCTACAAGCAAGCACTACTGCTGAGGTTACTGCCTTTTTGAAGATTGTTCCATAATATATAACAGTTGATATTATGGTTTTAGTAAATTCATCTTAAATGGTACTTGCTTTTTTGATTTATATAAAAAATATGGGGCTATTTAGCAATTAAGATTTGATCTGTAATGCTTATGATAAATTAAGCATGGTTGTGCACTGTTGGCATACAGAACTGTGCTTCGCCAATTCCTAGTTGCTAAAGTTATGGTAGGTCGCCTTATTTCAGTTTGACACAAGTGTAGTGTAGAGTCATTGTACCATCTAAACCGCTGTGAATTATTTTCCATTACCAAAAATATTATAGTTTCAGCTGTTTGAAGCTGGTGTACAAAACTGATCAGATCTACCGCTTCTTAGACTTACTTTCAACGAGTGACATATCTATAACTAATTTCTGTGAATTTAGTTCAGGGTCGCCCAGGAAGTTACATATTGCAGCTTTAAACATGTCCAACAATGTTAAGAATTCCACAGAAGATAACAGAGCAGCCAGGGCCGAGTTCACATTATACAGCTATTAAATCTAGCCTAGGCTACTTAACATGTTCTTCATCAAGAACTAGTCACAAGCTGCTACTGCTAGAATTGGGACCGTTTGCTTAAATCTTTTGACCTGAACTACAACAAACAGTAGTTAAATGGAATGGCTGTCATGTTTCTAATTTAAAATCATTGCGGGAAGTTACTGTAAACTGATACCCAACTCAGTTGCCGGCAACATTGCTAGTGTATGAGACTGGAGCAGTGAACTCAATTTCCCCATTTCTTTACTCATCTCCTATAACTTGACTGCCACATCTGTGCTGGAATTTATCAGCTAACAAACAAGCAACTGAGGTGTTGCCCCTGCCTTGTTCATCCACTCAACCTACTGCCAGTGAAGTCATTGGCAATGCAGACCTAAGGATAACTAGATTTAGCAAGCGTTTTACTTCACAATTCTAAGCAAGCCAGCTAGTTAAACATACAAAAAGCTATTTAAATTGGGCAGTTTGTCCCATTTGCAATGGCATGGATTTCAGTTGGCCTGCTAAACATGACAAACTGAACAGTATTAATGTGTCATGATCAAATATTAAAGGGTCCGTATGTTGAAGAAATGGAGATGCGCTTAACGGTGTAAAAAAAAAAAATCGTGCCTGTAAAATGTACTCATTGACTTTGACAGCCCTTGTATTCATACATCGAATTCATCTGGCAGTGCTGTTGCTGTAATTGCCTGATCTAACCTATACATCTCTTCCTCTGCAGTACCCCCTAATCCATCACACCATGGCAGACCCTGAACTTGACTTTACCACCGGAGAGTCTGGTGCCTCCGCCACCATTCCTATGCAGTGCTCTGCCCTGCGAAAGAATGGTCACGTGGTGCTAAAGGGACGCCCCTGTAAGATTGTGGAAATGTCCACCTCCAAGACCGGAAAGCACGGACACGCCAAGGTAGGGGATTGACTAGACGCATGCAAATACTACACGCCCTAGGGATGCCTCTGCTAGATAGTGGAAATGTCCAGCAGCGTCAGTATTCGGGAATTTGCGGGGTACAGACTTTAGGTGTACATGCATTGTCCACATCTGAAGTAATTGACCCATACATGCTTTGTCTGTATTCTCCAAGCATAACTTTTGACTCATCAAATTAGGTTTTACTTAACTTGTTATGACTATGTTATTAGTGGTGTGGTAAAACTCTGTTCTCTAAGTTGACGTTTATCCCTCTCCTTCCTCTTTTAGGTCAACATGGTGGGCATTGACATCTTCACCAACAAGAAGTATGAGGACATGTGCCCCTCTACCCACAACATGGATGTGCCCCACATCAAGAGGAATGAGTTCCAGGTCAGTGTGACCAGGGTGGGAAATGAACACCTGCCTAATGCGGGTAGATTTTGGCGTTGGCGGGATGTCTTATTTTACCAGCCACGTTGGCGACTGGTCACATTTACGTCATTTAGCAGACGCTCTTAACCAGAGCAACTTACAAATTGGTGCATTCACCTTATGATAGCCAGTGGGACAACCACTTTACAATTTAAAAAATATATATTTTTCTAATTGTTTAATTTGAGTGTGTATATATATTTATTAAAAGCCTAAATGTAGAAATTGGTCGAATTCACCTGAAAGGCTGTTAGTGGGACTTTGTCTTTGCGTTTCTTGGCTAGTTGCATTAGAGGAGATTCTCAACTCTGATGGACACAGTGCATGACCATGGTAATGGCCCTCCCCTCAAAAGGGGGCAGCTGAACATTTGTCTAACCTTGTGACTCAAATATTTGGGGGATACATTGTGCTTGAGCATGGAACATTCAAAATGTATGCATTACCTTTAGGCATTTCTTATTGAAACACTTAATTGCATTGTGCACCTACATTTGATTTGTGCTCCTAAATATCAAGTTACTTTGACATTTTAGTCATTTAGCAGATGCTCTTTTCCAGAGCGACTTACAGTTAGTGAATACATCTTTTTTTTTATACTGCCCCCCCCCCCCGTGGGAATTGAACCCACAACCCTGGCGTTGCAAACGCCATGCTCTATCAACTGAGCCACATCCCTGCCGGCCATTCCCTCCCCTACCCTGGACGACGCTGGGCCAATTGTGCGCCGCCCATGAGTCTCCCGGTCGCGGCCGGCTGCGACAGAGCCTGGATTCGAACCAGGATCTCCAGTGGCACAGTTAGCACTGCGATGCAGTGCCTTAGACCACTGCGCCACTCAGTTATGTACTAATGTCAGCGTTAGAGCCCTGAACTAATTGTAAAACCTGATCACTCAGCATTTTGTGGCAGGGAAGGCACTTTGATGTTCAGTTGTAGAACTGTCCATTTAACTTACTATTATTTATTTTAGCATTAGTTAAAACACTGGGATCAAAATGAAATTGAATTGAGCTATACACCTCATTACTACTTAATACTTGTTTTTGAAACATTACAAAGCATGCTCTTATTTTTTTGGGGTGTAATTATGCCTAAATATTTTGGCTGGTAAATTGGCGTGGACCAAAAAGTTCATTTCCTACCCAGTGTGACCTCACTTCCTGTCAGTGCACATTTTGGTTTTTGCCCTAGACGGCTGACTCAAATAACCAACTCATCAAGCTTGGATTTTTTAAGTCGGCTGTGTAGTGCTATGGCAAAAGGTGCACTGGGGGCAAGGACAGAGTTTGGGAAACCAATGCCCTATGTCACAAGGGTTCTCTTATCCAACTTGTTCCCACATCATTGGAATGATACCAGTTGACTACGTACTAATTCAGTAATGACTAATTCACATTCTATCAGGACACTATTTTCCAAGAGACTAGCAAATCCACTCAACACTGTTCTGTCAATCCAACCGCCGTCATAAATCTAGACGCTCTCCTAGAAGGCTGCCTGTGTAGTTCTGTAGTTGGGCAGGTCAGTTTTCAGCGTGTGTGTGGAGTAGTGAGAAAAGCTCTACACGCTCGCAGCCTGGCCTGCGTTCACCTGTGAGGTGGCGCAACACTATTGGCCAGTTCCTCCCACCAAGGTCATATGGTCTGGATCTCCTAGGCATGATGTCATCCTTGTCCAGGGAGCTTGTATTCAGTGAGCTGTACTGCTCTGATAGTTGTTGCTAAGGCATTGAGAAGTTACTGTCCACAACCCTTTGTTTACTGACATGTTGACATACTTTGTTACATTACCTGGGGGTAGACTTATGCCACAAAGAGGGATCAAATGCGCTGGTGTGTTAGGGCTTAAGCCTGGTCAGTTGGGTGACTCATAGTCTCACTCATTCTCGGTACATAATTCAACTGCCTTGGGAGTAATGCTGTTGTGCTGATCACAATGGCTTGTTTCTCTTTCTGGGAACCATGTGTGCACAGCTTTGGTTCCTCTGCCCTGTCAGCACTGGCCCCTATGTCAGCCAACCTGTTTTTTTAAACACATTTGATCACATTACATTTAACTTTGAATTGTATATTTGGCATTTGAGGGTTCCCCTGTTAACGCATGACGATCACCCAGCACTGTGCCAATACCCGTGGCATGAGTGTGAATGGTTCTTGCTACAGAGATCTCTTTGGAGATGGCTGTTACACCAGAGTGATCAGATCACAAACATCTGATGTGATGGCTAACAAAACAAATGCACAACTCACACTTTCTCTAACATGCCCATCTCATTTCCTTCTCATCTGCACAGCATGACTGAAATGAAGACTACCTGGAGCGTGCTTTGTGTCTGACTGTAGATGTAACCTGTTTGTTTCCAGCTATTGAACATCACTGATGGGTTCATGTCCCTCATGGGTGACAATGGAGACGTGAGGGAGGACCTGCGTGTGCCTGATTCAGACCTGGGCAAGGAGATAGAGCAGAAGTTTGCTGCTGGTGAGGATATCCTGGTGAGTGTGGCTGGCAGTGTGTTGGCTGGGGTGTTGTGAAGCTTGACAGTTTATTTTTGTTAGTGGCGCCTACGAAGAATATTAACCATCTCTCTGCCTGCAGGTCTCTGTGCTGGCCGCTATGGGGGAGGAGTGTGCTGTGGCCGTTAAGCAGATGACCGGCGGCAAATAGAAAGACAGGACTGGGCTGCCCAGGCAACAAACTCCACCCACAACCAGTCTAGCATTCTTATTGGTTCTTCTATCTGTCACCAAAGCGACGGCCTTCAGACAACTTCAATCATTCTGTTGTGATTCCTTTTTTTTCTTGTTTTTTGGTTTTTCTCTCTCCAACGCTGTCGGACTGTCCCACCATTACAGTGACTCGCTCGCTGTTGGGTGGCATTCTGCCGGATCGCTGAGGTTTAGTTATACATAATCTACAATATAAAGAAAAGTACTTTAAAAATATAGATTTTCTTTTTTGACTTCCTCATTCCTGTTTATTTTTGCCTTCGAGATGTTTTGGTATTGCCACATACATTCCTGAATGTTTAAAATAATGATGGGATCCAGCTTTTTGTATGTTTTTTTTTTTTTTTTTTTATTCCTTAGATTGAATAGAGCCGGTCTGATGCCTTTTATGGGGAGAAGGGAGGGGGGGAGCTTTTTGACTGGTGGGAGGAGGGGGGCTGGAGGCCCCTTTTACTGACCAACTCCGTTGGGGTTGTCCCTTTCTGGCAGCCTTACTGCTGCTTCCCAGCATGGCCTCTCCGCTCTGGCTGATCAGACAACTCCAACGCTTTTCTCCCAAGCCGCGGGAACGCCGGTGGCTAGCGCTTAACGAGCAGTCTTAACCGTCCCACCCCAGCATTTTAAATAAACCTACGATATCGAGAAAAGAGAACATTAGAGAAGATGCTAAATATGGAACCAAACTTCAGTGATTTCTCTTGTCAATGCCGCTCTGTCTGTTTAGGAAGCTGAGGGCCCTGTGCGCTTACCTCTGTCACCGTGGCAACCTGGCCCTGCGCCGGCTGCCCTGGGCATCCCATAATAGTTGAGTCTGAGGTGTTAGTGTGGCAGCGTGGGCTTCCGGAATGTTCTGGAAGGCAGTTTGCAGTGAGGTGTGTATGAGGGCAGGGGGGGTGGAGTTGCAAACTTATTTTGTTCACTCGAGGCCTTTGTCACCTGACTGGAGATGGCAAAAAAATAAAGTTAAAACAAATAGAAAAGTTTTCTTGGTTGTGGTGGTTTTCAGTTTTGTTTTCTCGCTAGAATGTTCCACTGTCAATGCCTGACTCTGAAGTAAAATAATGATATAGCAATGGATAGGTTTGAGCTTTGGTTGGGAACTCTGCACTGTCCAAGTTGCCTGGAACATATGGTATGCTACTCTGTATACGCAAAATGTAAAGTGTTGGTCCCATGTTTAATGAGCTGAAATAAAAGATCCCAGAAATGTTCCATATGCACAAAGATTACTTCTCAAAAATGTTGTGCACATTTGTTTACATCCCTGTTGGTGAGCATTTCTCCTTTCCCAAGATAATCCATCCACCTGACACATCAAGCAGCTGATTAAATGGCATGATCATTACACAGGTGCACCTTGTGCTGGGAACAAAGGCTAATAAAATGTGCAGTTTAGTCACAACACAATGCCACAGATGTCTCAAGTTGAGGAAGCACGCAATTGACATGCTGATTAGGAATATCCACCAGAGCTGTTGCCAGAGACTTGAATGTCCATTTCTATACCATAAGCCACCTCAATGACTTTTTAGAGAATTTGGCAGTATGGCCAACCGGCCTCACAACTGCAGACTACGCGTAAACATGCCAGCCCAGGACGTCCACATCCTGCTTCACCTGCGTTATCATCTGAGACCAGCCCCCCCAGACACCTGGTGAAACTGGGTTTGCACAACCGAAGAATTTCTGTGGCAGTTTGAATGCACAGAAATACTGTGACGAGATCCTGAGGCCTATTGTCATGCCAGTCATCTGCTGCCATCACCATGTTTCAGCATGGTAATGCACTGCCCCATGTTGCAATGATCTGTACACAATTCCTGGAAGCTGAAAATGTCCCAGTTCTTCCATGGCCTGCATATTCACCAGATGTCGCCCATTGAGCATGTTTGGGATGCTCTGGATCGACGTGTACGGTAGTGCGTTCCAGTTCCCATCAATATCCAGCAACTTCGCATAGCCATTGAGGAGTGGGAAAATATTCCACGCCCCTACATTTTTTAAAGGTGTCTGACCAACATATGCACATCTGTATTCCCAGTCATGTGAAATCCATAAATTATATTTTTGTTCAGTGTATATCAATTTGATCCCTGGCAACTGGCACATCCTGTAAAGTGAATTTGTCTCCAAATTCACTGAGGCTGGGTCTGATGAAAGCAGGATGGTGGACTCTTTCATAGGGAGAGGAAGCCTCTCACTGTTGAGTGCTTGACCTTTAGCCTTTAGGGCAGTGTGATAAAGCTGTCTTGAGGCACTTGTACAGCCTGAGTTTGATACATGATGCACAGTGAAGTACTCACTCCACTGCGTCTTCTGGCCCATTGCCCAGACTAGAGTACGCTGCAACAGCGGCAAAGCACTGCAGATACCAGTGTTCAGGGCTCAGCTGAGACTCAATGACTGAGTGAAACTGGCTGGGTTTGAGCCAGGATGGAGCCCTGTCCCTGCAGGGGCCTGTATGGCCGTTAGAGCCACACCCTGCCTGAAGTCTGCCACTGCAGTGTGAAGATGACTCATTCATTCTCTTCACACAATGCATACTCACACTTACAATTGTACACAACCCATCTGCATACTCTCAGAAACCAGGACAATGAGTAAGATCAGTCTAACACTAGACTAGTACATGTAGAATAATTAGATAAAGGAAAGAAATATAAGGTTGGTGTGTTTGTAGGTCACTCGGTAAGCATATTGGCAACAATACAGACCCATTACATCAGTAAAGCCATGACCCTGCTGTTGTAGTTGTCAATCAGGGCCAGATTAATGCAGGGGTTTAACAGGGCTCAAGCCCTAGGAAGCAAAAAATAATAATAAAGGAAATATATACAGTATATATTATACATTAAAAACTGGGTGGTTCGAGCCCTAAATGCTGATTGGCTGACAGCTGTGGTATATCAGACCGTATACCACGGGTACAAAACGTTTATTTTTACTGCTCTAATTACGTTGGTAACCAGTTTATAATAGCAATACGGCACCTATGGGGTTTGTGATATATTGCCAATATACCACGGCTAAGGGCTGTATCCAGGCACTCCACTTTGCGTCCTGTTTAAGAACAGCCCTTAGCCATGGTATATTGGCCATATACCACACCCCCTCGTGCATTATTGCTTAACGATATATACACAAAAGTATGTGGACACCCCTTCAAATTTGTGGATTTGGCTATTTCAGCCACAGTTGTTGCTGACAGGTGTATAAAATCGACCACACAGCCATGCAATCTCCATATACAAACATTGGCAGGGGAATGGCCTTACTGAAGAGCTCAGTGACTTTCAACGTGGCACCGTCATAGGATGCCCCCTTTCCATCAGTTTGTCAAATTTCTGCCCTGCTAGAGCTGCCCCGGTCAACTGTAAGTGCTGTTATTGTGAAGCGGAAACGTCTAGAAGCAACAAAAGCTCAGCGACGAAGTGGTAGGCCACACAAGCTCACAGAACGGGAGTGCTGAAGCGCGTAACGCGTACAAATTGTCTGTTCTCGTTTGCAACACTACCGAGGTCCAAACTGCCTCTGGAAGCAACATCAGCACAATAACTGTTCGTCTGGAGTTTTATGAAATGGGTTTCCATGGCCGAGCAGCTGCACACAAGCCTAAGATCACCATGTACAATGACAAGCGTCGGCTGGAGTGGTGTAAAGCTCGCCGCCATTGGACTCTGGAGCAGTGGAAACGCATTCTCTGGAGTGATGAACCACGCTTCACCATCTGGCAGTCGGACGGACAAATCTGGGTTTGGCGGATGTCAGGAGAACGCTACCTGCCCGAATGCATAGTGACAACTGTAAAGTTTGGTCGAGGAGGAATAATGGTCTGGGGCTGTTTTTCATGGTTCGGACCCTTGTTCCAGTGAAGGTAAATCTTAACGCTACAGCATACAATTACATTCTAGACGATTCTGTGCTTCCAACTCTGTGGCAACAGTTTGGGGAAGGCCCTTTCCTGTTTCAACATGACAATGCCCCCGTGCACAAAGCGAGGTCCATGCAGAAATGGTTTGTCGAGATCGGTGTGGAAGAACTTGTGGTCCTCTGTAGCTCAGCTGGTAGAGCACGGCGCTTGTAACGCCAAGGTAGTGGGTTCGATCCCCGGGACCACCCATACACAAAAAATGTATGCACGCACGACTGTAAGTCGCTTTGGATAAAAGCGTCTGCTAAATGGCGTATTATTATTATTATTTATTATTATTATAACTTGACTGCCCTGCACAGAGCCCAGACTTCAACCCCATCAAACACCTTTGGGATGACTTGGAACGCAGACTGCAAGCCAGGCCTAATCACCCAACATCAGTGCCCGACCTCACTACTGCAAGTCCCCACAGCAATGTTCCAACATCTAGTGGAAAGCATTCCCAGAAGAGTGGAGGCTATTATAGCAGCAAAGGGAGGACCAACTCTATATTAATGCCAATGATTTTGGAATGAGATGTTCGACGAGCAGGTGCCCACATATGGTTGCTGTAAAAAACAAATACAAAATATATACTACATACTGTATACACTACATGACCAAAAGTATGTGGACACCTGCTCGTCGAAGATCTCATTCCAAAATCATGGGATGAAACAATGAATGCACAAGAATTGGCAGGTGACAGCTGAGCGCGTTCTGGAGAGCTGAGTGCATGCATTCTGGAGAGAGACGCGCCATATCTTTGCCACACCCCTCCCCTTCTTGTTGTAACATTTAATTATACTCAAGACACATTATCTTCTAGATGCTGATCACTGACAGCCACAACTCAATCAGCTAGACCTATTGCCAGAGGCAGTTTGGAACTTGGTAGTGAGTGTTGCAACCGAGGACAGACGATTTCTACGCGCTTCAGCACTCAGTGGTCCCGTTCTGTGAGCTTGTGTGGCCTACCACTTTGCAGCTGAGCCATTGTTGCCCCTAGACGTTTCCACTTCACA